GTTCCCTTCCTGCTGCCCCTTGTTCCCTCCTCGCCTCCTTTTTCCCCTTTCCCCTGCCTCCTTGTTTCCCTTTCCCGCTGCCTCCTTGTTCCCCTTTCCCGCTGGTTCCTTTTCCCTTCCTTTTGCCCCTTGTTTTCCCTTTCCTGCTGCCCCTTATTCCCTTCCCGTGGTTCCTGTTCCCCTTTCCTCTGCCTCCTTTTTCCTCCTTCTGCCTCCTTGTTAATTTTTTTGCTGCCCCTTTTTTCCCTTCCTACGCCTCCTTTTTCCCCTTCCTGCTGGTTCCTTTTTCCCTTCCTCTGCCTCCTTGTTCCCTTTCCGCTGCCCCTTGTTAATTTTCTGCCCTCCTTTTTCCCCCTTTCCCATCCTCCTTGTTCCCCTTCCCGCGCCTCCCTTTTTTCCCTTCCCGCTGCCCCTTTCCCTTTCCCGCGCCCCCTTGTTCCCTTCCCTGCCTCCTTTTTTCCCTTCCTGCTGCCCCTTGTTCCCTTCCCCCTGTCCCTTTTTCCCTTTCCCGCCCTCCTTTTCCCTTCCTGCTGCCTCCTTGTTTCCCTTTCCCGCTGCCTCCTTTTTCCCTTTCCCGCTGTCTTCTTTTTCCCCTTTCCCGCTGCCGTTTGTTCCTTCCCCCTGCCTCCTTGTTCCCTTCCTGCGCCTCCTGTTCCCCTTCCCCGTTGCCTCCTTGTTCCCTTCCTGCTGCCCCTTTTTATTTTCCCTTCCTGCTGCCTCCTTGTTTTCCCCTTCCCTGCCTCCTTTTCCCTTCCTGCTGCCTCCTTGTTCCCTTCCTGCTGCCCCTTGTTTCCCCCCTCTGCATCCTGTTTCCCCTTTCCCCGCTCCTTGTTCCCTTCCCTGCCTCCCTTTTTCCCTTTCCCGCGCCTCCCCTTTTTTCCTTTCCGCGCCTCCCTTTTTTCCTTCCTCGCCTCCTTGTTTTCCTTTCCCCTGCCTCCTTTTTCCCTTTTTGCTTCCTCCTTTCCCTTTCCCGCTCCTCCTTGTTCCCTTTCTGTTCCTCCCTTTTTCCCTTTTCCGTTCCTCCTTGTTTCCCCTTCCTGCGGGTTTCCCTTTTTCCCTTTCCTGCTGCCTCCTTGTTTTTTCCCTTTCCCCCTTTCCCCCTTTTTTTTTTTTTTTTCCCACTTCCTCCTTTTCCCTTCCTTCTGCCATTGTTCCCTTCCGCTGCCCCCCTTTTTTCCCCTTTCCCTGCCCTTTTTGTTTCCCTTTCCGCTGCCTCCTTGTTTCCCCTTTCCTACGCCTCTTTGTTCCCTTCCTTCTGCCCCTTGTTTCTTCCCTTGCCTCCCTTTTTTCCCCTTTTTTTTGCCTTCTTTTTCCCTCCTGCTGCCCCCCTTTTTCCCTTCCTGCTTCCTCCTTGCTCCCTTCCGCGCCTCCTTGTTCCTTCCTGCTAAATCCTTTTCCCTTCCTGCTCTCTGTTCCCTTCCTGCTGCCCCTTGCTTCCTTCCGCTGCCTCCTTGTTTCCCTTTTTTGCTAATCCTTGTTTCCCTTTTCCCGCTGGTTCCTTGTTCCCCCCCCGCTGCCTCCTTATTCCCTTTCCCGTTTCCTTGTTCCCTTTCTGCTGCCTCCCGTTCCCTTTCCCGCTGCCTCTTTGTTCCCTTCCTTCTGCCTCTTTTTCTCTTTCGCTGCCCTTTTTGTTCCCTCCTGCTGCCTCCTTGTTCCCTTCCTCTGCATCCCTTTTTCCTTTTCCTCTGCCTCCTTGCTCTCTTTTCCCGCTGCCCCTTGTTGTCTTCCTCTGCCTCCTTTTTCCCTTTCCTTCTGCCTCCTTCTCCCTTCCTGCGCCCCTTGTTCCCTTCCCGCTGCCCCTTGTTCCCTTTCCGCGCCTCCTTGTTTCCTCCTCTGCCTCCTTATTCCCTTCCTTGCCTCCTTGTTTCCCTTTCCCGCTGCCTAAAAGTTCCCCTTTCCCGCTGCCTCCTTGTTCCCTTTCTGTTTCCTCCTTGTTCCCTTTTCCCTTTTCCTCCTTGTTCCCCTTTCCCGCTGGGTTTCCCTTTTTCCCTTCCCGCTTCCTTGTTCCCTGCCTGCTGCCTCCTGTCCCTTCCTGCTGCTCCTTGTTCCCTTTCCCACTTCCCCCTTTTCCCTTCCTTCTGCCTCCTTTTCCCTTCCGCTCCTCCTGTTCCCTTCCCGCTGCCCCCTTGTTCCCTTCCTCGCCCCTGTTCCCTTCCCGCTGCCCCTCCTTTTTTCCTTCCTGCTGCTTTCTTGTTTCCTTTCCCGCTCCCCCTTGTTCCCTTTCCCACGCCCTTTGTTCCCTTCCTGCGCCTCCTTGTTCTCTTCCTGCGCCTCCTTTTTCCCTTTTTTTTTTCTTGTTTTCCCTTTCCCGCTGCCCCCGTTCCCCCTTTCCCCTGCCTCCTTGCTCCCTTCCTGCTAAACCCTTTTTCCTTCCTGCTAAACCTTTTTTCCCTCCCCTTTTCCTTGTTTTCCCTTCCTGCTGCCTTTGTTCCCTTCCCGCTGCCTCCTTGCTTCCTTTTCCCGCTGCCCCTTGTTCCCCTTTTTGCTAAACCTTGTTCCCTTTCCGCTGGTTTCCCTTTTTCCCTTTCCCCTGCCTCCTTATTTCCTTCCTTGGGTTTCCTTTTTCCCTTTCCCCTGCCCCCTTTTCCCCTTTCCCGCGCCTCCCTTTTTCCCCTTTCCCTGCCTCTTTGTTTTTCTTTTTGCTGCCCCTTTTTTCCCCTTTCCCCTGCCTCCTTTTTCCCCCTTCCCGCTGCCCCTTTTCTCTTTCCCGCTGCCCCCTTCTCTCTTCCCGCTTCCTCCTTTTTGTCTTCCTGCTGCCTCCTTGTTCCCTTCCGCTGCCTCCTTTCTCCCTTCCTGCGCCTCCTTGTTCCCTTCCCGCTGCCTCCTTTTTCCCTTCCGTTGCCTCCTTGTTACTTTCCCACTGCCCACTTTTTCCCTTCCCGCTGCCTCCTTGTTCCCCTTTCCCGCTGCCCCCTTGTTCCATCCTGCTGCCTCCTTGTTCCCCTTTCCCCTTTCCTCCTTGTTTCCCCCTTCTGCCTCCTTGTTCCCCTTTCCGCTGCCTTCTTGTTCCCCTTCCTGCTGCCTCCTTTTTCCCCTTTCCCGCGTTTCCTTGTTCGCTTCCCCGCGCCCTCCTTGTTTTTCTTCCTCTGCCTCCCTTTTTTCCCTTCCTGCTGCCTCCTTGTCCCTTCCCATGCCTCCCTTTTTCCTCCACTTCCTCCTTGTTCCCTCCCTTCTCCCCCCCCCCCCCCCTTGTTCCCTTTCCCGCTGCCTCCTTTTTCCCTTCCTGCTGCCCCTTTTTTCCCTTCCTCGCCTCCTTTTTCCCTTTCCGCTGCCCCTTGTTCCCTTCCTGTTGCCTTCTTGTTCCCTTCTTGTGCCTCCTTTTTCCCTTCCTACTCCTCCTTTCCCTTCCTGCTGCCTCCTTGTTTCCCTTTCCCGCTAATCCTTTCCCTTTCGCTTGTTCCTTTTTCCTTCCCTGCCTCTTGTTTTCCCCGTGCTCCCGCTTTTTTTCCCTTTTTGGGTTTCTTCCTTTTTACCTTCCCGTTGCCTCCTTTTTCCCCCTTTCCGCGGTTTCCCTTTTCGCCTTCCTTTTCCCTTTTTCCCTTCCTGTTTTCCCTTCTGTTCCCTTCCTTTGCCCCCTTGTTCCTTTCCCGCGCCCCGTTCCCTTCCCCGCTGCCACTTCTTTTCTTCCTGCTACCTCCTTTTTCCCTTCCTCTAAATCCCTTTTTTCCCTTCCTGCTGCTTTCCCTTTTTTCCCTTCTGCTACCCCTTTCCCTTGTTCCCCTGCCTGCTCCCTTTCCTTTTTCTCCTGCTGCTTCCTTTTTCCCCTTCGTGCCTCCCCCTTTGTTTCCCAAATTTCCCCCTTTGTTCCCCCTGCTTTTTCTTTGTTCTCCTACTTCCCCTTATTTTTCCCCTACTTCCCCTTACCCCCTGTTTCCCCTTCCCCACTACTTCCCCCCTTTTTAACCACTTTCCCCCATTCTCCCGCTTCCCCCTTTGTTCCCCATGTCAGTATCACTGTGTATAAACGCAACGCTCCTGAAGCCAACCAGACCACCACTGACCTCTCCTATCTCGAAAAAAGAACAAGCAGAGAGAGAGGAGAGAGAGAGAGAGAGAGAGAGCATGAGGGCAACGGATGACTACAAATATCTATCAATATGTCTGAAGGATGGGAATGGGTTTCGTTAGGAGGGGAAATACAGTACCTACACTCTGAAGGATGGGTGGTGATGTTACAGTTCCGGAGGTGGGAAGTACAGTGCCTACTCTCTGGAGGATGGGTGAGGATTGATACGAGGTGCACAATAAACTACCCACTACTATCCTATCTATCCACAGTCTTTTTGATCCTACTTCCGTCCATCCTCTCCCCATCCCTTCCATCTTTCTTATGTGCTAAAGAACCTATCTCCAGGCTCTCCTGTCTCTTGGGCTAGTCCTGGAGCCGACCCACACACGCTGCTACGACACTCGGTTCGACCCCTAGCATATATGATAGTAAAAACTCATTAATAATAGGAAGTAGAGAAAAAAGAAGAAAAAGATGAGGAGGAAGAGGAGGAGAATAAGAATAAGAATAAGAATAAGAGGGACTGACCACCTAAACGTTAATTCTTCAGTTACATCCAGTATATTAGCTACCTCTGTATTCAACTGATGAAGCCTGCTTTACAGGTAAAACCTTCCAGAAATAAAAATATCCAAATGTTGCCCATGTGAGTCACTGATCAACTTTAGATACCTAACACTGACCATACTGCAGTGTTCCTGTTGCTGTGTTGTTAATCTGTGAGGTTATACCAGAGTATGATAATCAAGGTTATACAACAACAGTATGCTAGTCAGTGTAATACTACAACAACAACAACAGCATGCTAGGTATGATAATACACAGGATTATCCAAGTTCTTGCAGTAAAGTCTGCAATAAAGAGGTAAACGGACACATACGCCACGTTTAGAATACTTTATTGCACGTACCTAATTCCTCCGATTGTCTTTATTGTACACAGTTATAAGGAATGTTCGGGGGGGGGGGGGGGAAGAAATCTCCGTACTGACCTCCAGTGAAGTTTTTGAATAAAATGTCCATGAACTCTTTGGAGACCTTATGAGGATAAGAGCTTGGTTTATCTTTCTTGAAAACCACCAGGTTTGAGGTTAAGAGGGCTTGTGGCTGGTCTACCATCTTCTGATTTGAGGCTACGACAGCCTGTGGTTGGTCTTCCATCTGATAGTTTGAGGCTACAACAGCCTGTGGTTGGTCTACCATCTTCTGGTTTGAGGCTACGAGGGCTTGTGATTGATCTACCATCTCCTTGTTTGAGACTAGAAGGACCTGTGGTTGGTCTGTTTCCTTGTTTGAGGCTACGAGGCCTGTGGCTGGTCTGTCATCTCCTGGGTTGAGGTTACGACAACCTGTGGTTGGTCTACGATCTCTGGTTTGAGGCTACGGCAGCCTGTGGTTGGTCTACCATCTTCTGGTTTGAGGCTACGAGGGCTTGTGATTGATCTACCATCTCCTTGTTTGAGACTAGAAGGACCTGTGGTTGGTCTGTTTCCTTGTTTGAGGCTACGAGGGCCTGTGGCTGGTCTGTCATCTCCTGGGTTGAGGTTACGACAACCTGTGGTTGGTCTACGATCTCCTGGTTTGAGGCTACGACAACCTCTGGTTGATCTACCATCTCATGGTTTGAGGCTACGAGGGCTTGTGGTTTGTCTACGATTTCCTGGTTTGAAGCTACGAGGGCCTGTGGTTGGCCTACCGTCTGATGGTTTGAGACTACGACAGCCTGTGGTTGATCTACTATCTGATAGTTTGAGGCTACGAGAGCCTGTGGCTGACCTACCATCTGATGGTCTGAAGCTACGAGAGCCTGTGGCAAGCCTACCATCTGCCCAGCCTGGAGGTATCCTGGAGGCCTAACTCCAGTGATCTGGGGGTCCCAGAAGATGATATAATAGAGGGAGAGGAGGAAGCCAGCGCTGGACACCCCAGAAGCATAGGCTATTACCGTCATGATCTTGATGATTTTCTTCGTGAGGGCTGACTTTCCCTTCTTCGGCGTCTCTTCTTTTTCTTCCTCTGCGTTCATCTTTACTCCTCTTTCGTGCGCCCCTACACTCCAAGAAAAATTTGCGTCTCTTGAAATTAAGCAAACTAGAGTCGAGAACAAATATTTGCCTTTTTCTTCGGCTAAGAAGTAACCAAGAGCCAATAGGTAACTTTTTTTTTCAACGAAGAATTAATCAAGAGTAAATAGGTGCCATTTTCTTCAGGTAGCAGTTACTCGAGAGCAAATAAATGCTTTTCCCTCCACTGAGGACGACCTACACAATAACACAACACCAGCCTACTGCCCCACAAGCTCCTAAATCCCCTTTATGTAGTCGGGAACCAGGAAAGGTGGCCAGTTCCCTTCACTTTCTTCATACTTATAGACTCGTCTGCCACATCATTGATCCTTCAGGCCACATCCTGGGTCCTGTTAGCCACACCCCACTGCGCCAGAGCATTGGAAAATAGAAGCTCGTTGTTATTCAACGGTGGAATAATAGTACATAATAGATGTGAGGATCAAGTCTGTGGTAACATGTGAGCAGTTGCAAGGCTTTACTCAGGTAAGATTGAGGTCAGCACAGCATAGTGACTGTTGTTATGTAGGAGGAGGAGGAGGAGGAGAAGAAGAAAAACGAGAAGAAAAGGAAGAAGAGGAAGAAGTAGATACTATGTTGCTTACTTTAATATGTATTTTAGGGATGAAAGTATTCTTGTGTGGTGGTAAGCATGTTACTTGCAGTCTTAATGACCCTCGTGTAGTAGACAGGCTTTAAACCTCGCTAACCATTTTTTAGGAAATTCTGCAAATGTTTTTCACTATTTACAATGTTGTGTGTGTTTACGTAATTGAGTGCGGATGGTGGTGTGTGTGTGTACTCACCTAATTGTGGTTGCAGGGGTCGAGACTCAGCTCCTGGTGTGTGTGTGTGTGTGTGTGTATGTGTGTGTGTGTGTGTGTGTGTAGTCACGAAAATCAAAGGCCTACCATACAGGGGGGTCTTTTCGTCAGTGCATTATGCCGGGTAGCAGCCATTAGCATGACGTCACGGCCTGCCACCACACTCCACAGTGACTCCTCAGTGCTCACATGGCTGCCGTGATGAGAGGAAGTGTTGCACTTTTGCCTCTCATCTGCCCCATCTTTTGTTCGGTGTTCTCTTTGGTTTTTGGGCTATACATGTTTGATCATGGGTAAAAGGAAGTCTTTAGCACCTGAAACTATAACTCAAATCACAATGCTGGGCATCAGATGGAAGAAATAGTGGAGAATGTTAGTGTGTGTGTGAGCGTTCAGTGAGGAACTGGGTGCAGCGTTTCAAGGCTGGTGGCTGTGTCGAGTTACCGTCTGCCAAACCTCGGCCTGGCCCCTCGAAGAAGACATCTGTCCATACCTTAAGTGTGTTAAAGAAACAGTATAGAGCCCACATCTCTCAGATGTGTCTGTAAGAACTGTTAATAGACGTGTGTCAGAACTGGGCTACAGTAGTCACCGCCAGGTTACGAAACCGATCCTCTCCAAGCCACAGAAGAAATGTAGGCTGGATAATGCAAAGAAACATCTTCACTGGAATCCTCAACAGTGGTCTGGAGTACATTGGAATGATGAAGCAACCTTCACCGTCACCTGTAACTGGGGGGGACATGTGTACCGCCCAGAGATAGTGACCCGCTAGACCCACGCTACGCCTGTGGGACCACCAAACATCCAGACTCGTTCATGGTTTGGGAGTGTTTCAGTAGTACTCAGAGTGTTGGTGAACTTATTGTATTTCCCAAAAACCAGTATGCAAACCAGTATAATTACCTGGAGTTATTGTGTGAAAATTTACATGAGGTGTTTGACAAGTGTGGGGATACGATTTTTATGCAGGACGATGCACCGTGTCGTATCGCCAAATCTGTAGTTCAGCGGCTTAAGGACTGTGAAGTGAGGTTCTTTAATGACTGGCCAGGCAATTCCCCAGACCTAAACCCTGTTGAGAACCTCTCGTCAATAGTGAGACAAAATTACTGGGCAAGGATATCAGTTCCATCCCGTGGGTGGAGGTTGCTCTACATGAGGCATGGAATAATATACCTCCCCAAACCCTCAAGAATTTGTGTGAGAGTCTTCCTACACGACTGAGGGACGTGATTAAGCGTAAAGGACGCAGCGTCAAGTATGCAATTATATATATATATAATTATATATATATAATAATTATATTATATATATATATAAGCGTCAAGTGTGCAATTATATATATATATATATAATCATTCATGGTATGTGTTTGGAAAACGCAAAACAACAGCTCACAATGACAAGGTTATCATAAGAAATAGTGCGAAGGATCCCAAGAAAATCAGCAAAGATGTACAGAGAGATTGGCTTCAGCTGGCGCAAATGTTGATTCTTCAACTGCTCGACGAAGTCTCCTTGAAGTTGGCAGAACTGCCAGAAAGCCGGTAAAGAAAGAAATACTGACTGCTGCTATTAAGAAAACACTGGCTGCGGTGGGCACTCGATCACAAGGGATGAACGACATATGAATGAAGAAAAGTTGTATTTTCAGATGAGGCGCATTTTGAAGTACATGGGTATATAATAGTGGTAGTGAAGTACATGGGTACAGATCAGTGGTGGCAATATAAACACAAATGCAGTATAATGTGATCCTTTATTGACTACGTTTCGCCCACACAGTGGGCTTTTTCAAGTCACAAACAGAACTACCTGGGGTGGAAGGAACGCGAGTATTTATAGTCCGGCTGAGGTCAGGTGAAGAATGCTGCATCTGATGAAGTACCGAGTTGGGTTGTAGAGTCTAAAAACTTGGGTAGCTTGGAAAGGAGACTGGACAAGTTTGTGAGCAGACCTTCTACAGTGTTCTTATGTGGGATATCCCACATAAGAACACTGTAGAAGGTCTGCTCACAAACTTGTCCAGTCTCCTTTCCAAGCTACCCAAGTTTTTAGACTCTACAACCCAACTCGGTACTTCATCAGATGCAGCATTCTTCACCTGACCTCAGCCGGACTATAAATACTCGCGTTCCTTCCACCCCAGGTAGTTCTGTTTGTGACTTGAAAAAGCCCACTGTGTGGGCGAAACGTAGTCAATAAAGGATCACATTATACTGCATTTGTGTTTATATTGCCATTGTGTCGGTATTTTATACCATTTATTTCCACAGATCAGTGGTAGTGAAGTACATGGGTACAGATCAGTGGTAGTGAAGTACATGGGTATAGATCAGTGGTAGTGAAGTACATGGGTATAGATCAGTGGTAGTGAAGTACATGGGTACAGATCAGTGGTAGTGAAGTACATGGGTACAGATCAGTGGTAGTGAAGTACATGGGTTTCAGATAAGGGGGTAGTGAAGTACATGGGTATAGATCAGTGGTAGTGGGGAAGACATTGGGTACAGAAAAAAGTGGTAGTGAAGTACATGGGTATAGATCAGTGGTAGTGAAGTACATGGGTATAGATCAGTGGTAGTGAAGTACATGGGTACAGAAACAGTGGTAGTGAAGTACATGGGTACAGATCAGTGGTAGTGAAGTACATGGGTATAGATCAGTGGTAGTGAAGTACATGGGTATAGATCAGTGGTAGTGAAGTACATGGGTATAGATCAGTGGTAGTGAAGTACATGGGTATAGATCAGTGGTAGTGAAGTACATGGGTATAGATCAGTGGAAGTGAAGTACATGGGTATAGATCAGTGGTAGTGAAGTACATGGGTACAGATCAGTGGTAGTGAAGTACATGGGTACAGATCAGTGGTAGTAAAGTACATGGGTATAGATCAGTGGTAGTGAAGTACATGGGTGATATTAGTAATCATAGTGGTAAGTGAAGTACATGGGTATAGATCAGTGGTAGTGAAGTACATGGGTATAGATCAGTGGTAGTGAAGTACATGGGTATAGATCAGTGGTAGTGAAGTACATGGGTATAGATCAGTGGTAGTGAAGTACATGGGTTATGATCAGTGGTAGTGAAGTACATGGGTATAGATCAGTGGTAGTGAAGTACATGGGTATAGATCAGTGGTAGTGAAGTACATGGGGAATAGATCAGTGGTAGTGAAGTACATGGGTTATAGATCAGTGGTAGTAAAGTACATAGGTATAGATCAGTGGTAGTGAAATACATGGGTATAGATCAGTGGTAGTGAAGTACATGGGTATAGATCAGTGGTACTAAAGTACATAGGTATAGATCAGTGGTAGTGAAGTACATGGGTATAGATCAGTGGTAGTGAAGTACATGGGTATAGATCAGTGGTAGTAAAGTACATAGGTATAGATCAGTGATAGTGAAGTACATGGGTATAGATCAGTGGTAGTGAAGTACATGGGTATAGATCAGTGGTAGTGAAGTACATGGGTATAGATCAGTGGTAGTGAAGTACATGGGTATAGATCAGTGGTATTGAAGTACATGGGTATAGATCAGTGGTAGTGAAGTAAAATGGGTATAGATCACTGGTAGTGAAGTACATGGGTATAGATCAGTGGTATTGAAGTACATGGGTATAGATCAGTGGTAGTGAAGTACATGGGTATAGATCAGTGGTAGTGAAGTACATGGGTACAGATCAGTGGTAGTGAAGTACATGGGGACAGATCAGTGGTAGTGAAGTACATGGGTATAGATCAGTGGTAGTGAAGTACATGGGTATAGATCAGTGGTAGTAAAGTACATGGGTATAGATCAGTGGTAGTGAAGTACATGAGTACAGATCAGTGGTAGTGAAGTACATGGGTACAGATCAGTGGTAGTGAAGTACATGGGTACAGATCAGTGGTAGTGAAGTACATGGGTACAGATCAGTGGTAGTGAGACGGAGCAAAGACGAGCCTCTTCAGAATAGACACATTTAACAAGTGCCAAAAACACTCACTTAAGGAGATGTTTTGGGGTAGTTTTACTGCTAAACGCCCAGAACGGCTTGTTATTGTTGAGGAACGATGAACAGTGACAAACACAAGACAATCCTGGCAACTCATTTGCTTCCCATTGTGGATGGAGACTTTCCTGATGGAGAAGGCATTTTCCAGCAGGATCTTGTTCCATGCCACACTTCCAGAAAAATACTGACATCCTTCGAAGAGAGTGGACTAAGTGTTCTAAACTGGTCTGGAACTCTCCTGACATCAACTTGATTGAGAATCTATGAGTACTAACCAAACGCAGGATCGCAATAGAGGACTGTTTAACTGTGGAGAAACTAACTGCTGCTGTTATTAGGACCTGGTACCAAGAACTTATCAAAATGTGTTCGACATTGGTTGA